TGCAAGAAATACTCTCCTATTGTGTAAATAATTCATAGTTTTGTCTTTTTTGCTCTAGCTACCAAAGGATAGCCATTCCTAACATATGTCCCTCTACTAATAATTTTCCATTATCTCTTCAAGAATCAAGAACTAAAATAACTTCATGGAGTAATTTAATCAAGCTGCTTGCCTTTCCTTATTTAACTGAGTGCCAGTGACTTTCAGAGTATGACAAATTTTAAATTACAAAATGTCTTAAATGAGTACACATACTTTCCTAGTATTTCTGAGGCAAACAAAGTTATATTCATATCACTCTTTACAAATAAGAAAACTGGGGTTCAAAATCTTTTAAGAAAATTACTCAACATTGTTTGCCTCACCCGAAGCACATCTGAGCTACAAATTTAGGTCTTTTTCTTCGTGGTCAATGCACACTCTTCAACCCTGGGCTCCAGGGCTTTAAGGTTTCCCTTTCTATGTTGTTCACTCTTAAGTTTCTGTTACTGCATATACTGAGTATTTCATAGTGTTTGATCACATAATGTTTTTCAAATGAATGGCATATTCAATAGGTTCAATAAGTAGATCAGATTTTTCCTCAAGTTTTTTTTTTTTTCAAAGGATGTATGTTGAAACCTTAAAGAATGCAGTATGGTTGTGGACTCTAGTTTAATTACCACTATTTAATTTTTGAAAGAAAATGAGCAATTTCATAAATTAAATAAATATTACACTATATAAAAATGTTGCTATAGCAAGACTCAATGGGTACGGCACTTTTCAATATTTAGGCCAAACTGTGATATGGGTTGTCATGGGGGTGCTTTGATAAAGACTTTATGGCAACAATATCATGAAGGGTGTGGGGAACAAAGTTATGTGCAGTGAGACAGAGTGCTACATCACAGGAGTCACTGGTTCCTCTCAGCCACCCAGAAGACAATGAAACCCAAATGTAATTAGTTTGAGGAATTCCTTTCTAGAAGGTTGAGTATTGTTGGTGTGGTTATAAAATACTGTGTCACCATGTAATATTTGAAGAATCAAATTCCCTATAAAGCATTAAACATTAGAAATATTAAACCTAATTTTTAGAGACTTGGTTTTTTTTCCTAAAGAGACAAAGAAAATTCTGGAAAAATGCAGAGTAGTTTATGTACTCTATTAGTCAGCATTTTGTCACTGTGATCAATTATACCTGACAAGAACAACCTAGAAGAGAAAACATATGATTTCACAGTTTTGAATTTATGGTCAACCTGCTTCTTTTCTTTGCACCTGAGGTAAGGCTTGGAGGAAGGCTGTGGCAGAGAAAACTGCTCAGCTCCTGGCAGGTTAGCACACAGAGGGCAGGAGCAAGGGATTGAGAAGAAAATAACCCTTTCTGGGGTATGCCCCAGTGACCTACTTCCTCCAACCAGCTAGGAGTCCATCTAGTTATCAATGCCTGATGAGGTCAGAGCTCTCGTGATCTAATCATGGCATCAAAGCCCCATGTCTGAACCTTGCTGCATTGGAATCCATGGTTTCAATACATGAGCTTTTGGAAAATATTCCAGATTCAAATCATAACAGTCACTTTGATGTTTTCAAGTTTACCCAATACTGAATTCTGATGAAAATGAGCTCAAATCCAGAAAAAAAAAAAAAAAAAACCTGCCAGGCAGGGAGGCCAACTGGGTTTGACTTTCTTTCAATTAGGAACTAAGCAAATGTACTCACAAGCTTAGTCCTTGAATGCATGACTGTGGTGTGTTGTACTCAAAAACTACAGACCATGAGAGGTTAATAGTTTGAAAGTCACTGAGTTAAAAAAAAATCTTCCTTAACGGAAGTACTTCTAGGAATATTTAATGTGTTTATGTGTGTTTTAAATTTCTCAGAACAAGATATAATCGAAAATGTCTCTAATGCTCTTTGGCAACAGAAAGTTATTTTTGTGAACTATCCATGGTGGAACACAATTTGGGAAATGTCAGTGTATTGACCAGAACTCTGAGCTAGGAATAAGAATGTCTTGGATACTCATTAGTTCTAAAGTCTGGACAAGCCATTTGATTTTCTGGCCTCTGTTAAAAATACTATTCCTGTTCATCTTGAGAATACCATTAGGGAGACCACAAAGTTTAGAGATTAAGACTTTCCATATCCAACATTAGGTGGTCATCACCAAGCAAAATGTGGATGTGTGTTGGATACTCAATAAAGGTTTAATCAAACAAATCAATAAAATAATATATTTATGTGCATAATATATATGCATACAATACTAGATAAAAAATAAAATAGGATCTTATAATATTAGAATGACTTTTTTTCCATGTAGAAACTTTAATGAAAATGCTTATAGCAGCATTATTTATAATACCAAAACCTTAGTGAAAAGAACAAAATTTTTTTGCTGAGTGATTAGTTATGGTATATTATGCCACAAAATACTATTCAGCAATAAATAGGAATGAATATATGATGCACACAACAATCTGAATGAATACACAGACATTTATGCTAGGTGAAATCTGTTAGAATGACTTTTCTTAATCTGAACATCATTTTTAAAGTTTTGTCTCTGCTATTATAATTTTGGGTAATGCAGAATTTTTTTCCTTCTAGGTAAAGAAACATGTAATTCTTTACCTAGAATTTTATAATTATACTTCTAGTGACTGACTGTTTATCAGCCAATAAAGCTCAAATCGCCCTTTCCTTCACATCCACTTGTTTAGTGTCTCTAATCCGAAGCAGATTCAAATCAGAAGGGACGAAGTCAGGTTACCTAGGATCCCAGAGAAATTTCTTTAAAGTGTGACATATTCCTTTGAATGATTTCTTTAAAATTGACCTTTCTCTTGAGGCATTTTCTAGAACAGTAGGATGTCTTATTGAAGCATGCCTGTTGAGAGTCTTTGAATGCTTTTCAACCACACAGCTGTGCAAGTCTACTTGGGCTTTTGACCAGAAAAAACATTATGATAATATTTTTAGTTCTCTCAGGAATATTTGATTTCAATCTCATGAATTATAATTTATTTGAAATAATGAAATAGAAATATATCTCTATAGTCAGATGTGAATTTGTGTTCTCCCTTTCACTTGTTTGTCTGTTCTTATGTAAGTTATTAGTGAGGTGCAACCTGTGGATATAACGGACATGCAGTTGAATTTATTCCTGGATTTATACCTGGAATAAAATATGTTGCCCACACAAACATGATCCTGAATTGGTAAAAGATTTAGTCAATGGTTGAGTTACAATCAGAGTTTTCAGAAATGTCACTCAGGCAGTTTTAACTCTTGCTAAAATGATGTTCCTTTTTGAAAAAATTCTGATTGGCTCAAACATCATGTTCAAAATGTGGGACCTCATGGATCTTACTTTTTAATAACTTTTTTCCAAATTGAAATGAGTCAAGATGAGTGATATTATTTGAGAGACCAGACAGTGCCCATAATACACACATGTGTGCTCTCTAAGTAGCTAGTGAGAACAGAAAGGACAGAGAGGGCGAATTGAACTTTATTGGCTGATCCATAGAGCCATTCTTACATACATTTCCTCCATTGCCAACAGCTCAGATACAAACCATGATATGGATATCGCCAGTTAGAGATTTGATAAATGCACCACATCAATGCTTCACTTCCCTTCCTTCCTCCACTCCTACCCTTCCTCCAAGAGTATATCAGAGCTTATTATCAAGATATTATAAGATGAAGTGTGGGCAAGTTAAAAGTCCCTTCCCTGTCTCATTGTTCCTTATTCCATAGCATCCTGATATTTTTCAATAAAGCTTTCAATGATTTTAATAATTTAGTGTTTCAACTCCAGGAAGAATGTTAGGGAATTTATAAAACAAGTGTTCAGCATAATCATAGGATTTTCTTTGACTATTTCAACGTGTATAAGTATAGAAGTAACAAACTAGAATTGTGTGCTCATTTTAAAGCATTCAGAAAAAAAGAAAAGACAAAATTTTCTCCATATAGAGATATCATGTTTTAAAAGAAAGCACAATCTGATTAAGTTGCTGTTAATTCCACCACCACTTCTTTCCTTCCCAGTATCACAATATTTTTTTTCTGTACATTACTATAGGTATTTGAAATTTGCTGTGTTCTTTGCTTTTATTTTCAGCTTAGAGAACTATGAACTTGCATTATGCAATATATACAATGATGAAAACATTATTTCAGGGCTTTAGTTCTTCTCTTTAGTTTGTAGATATATACATACCTGTAATATATATGTGTACAGCTGGCCCTCTGCCTCTATGGGTTCAGCATCAATGAATTAAAAAAAAAACAAACTGTGCCTTAAAAATTTGAAAAAAAAAACCCAGTAAACAATAAAATAATGTAGATAAAAGCAATACAGTTTAATAGCTACTTAATTCCATTTATATAATATTAGGTACTATAAATAACCTAGAGATGACTTGAGCTATACAGGGTGATGTGCGAATGCTTTATGCAGATACCATGCCATACTATATTATAAGGGACTTAGCCATACGTGAATTTGGGAATCTATGAGGGGTCCTGGAACAATCCTTGAAGACACTGAGGGACAACTCTGTGTGTGAGTTGGGGGTGTGTTTGTGTGTGTGTGTATTCTAGGTTAATTCTACCCTTGTCATCCTTTAATGAGATGATGTTTTATACCAAGACAACTATACCACTCTCTCACTGTCTGTATCCTCAATTTTACTCCAGTCTGGCCTGCATATCCCTCAGGCAAATATTTCTAAATCACAAGTTTCATTGCTTAATTACCTGATGAAGAATTTTCAAAGGACTCTCATTTTCTATCACTGCCTATTCGCATACCTGACTTCAAGTTTTTGTATAAATAATGTAGCCACAATGTGTTTCATTCTTTTTGAATAAACAGACTCTTTCTAAAAGGATGATTCTTTCCCTGCCTTTTCCTTTTTATGTCACACTTATTTCAAATTCCGTGATTTTGCTTTTATTACCATCCTTACATTAGAGGCTTTTCTTTTTGCTTTTTGAATTATTAAAATAAAATTATTATTAATGACTCACCTTGCCATGAAAGCTTCTCCAAATATTCTGGAAATTGGAAAAAGTATCTCCCTGTATAGAGTAAATAACTTGTAGTAGTCACTTCATTATTGGATAAGAGTGTCATGAATATTACTTTTCTCTTTCTAGATGCTTGGTAACCCCTTGGTGGGAGCATGTCTAGCTAATAATTTTGTTGGTTTGGGTACTTATTATAGGCTACACAACCAGAAGGATTCTAATGGTTTGGATATGAGATGTCCCCAAAAAGCTCATGAGTGAGACAATGAAGGAATGTTCACAAGTGAAATGATTAGATTATGAGAGCCTTTGATGAATAATAATTTGAAAGGATTACTGTTGGGGGTGATACCTGTAAGCAGGTTGGGCATGGTTGGAGTAAGTAGGTCAGAGGGTGTATGCTTTGAGGGTTATATTTTGTCACTGGGACATTGCTTTTTCTCTCTGTTTCCTGGCTGTCAAAATCTAAGCAGCTTTCCTCCACCAGTCTCTTCTTCCACCGTGTTCTGCCTCACCTTAGACCCAGTCAGTGCAATGCAGTCAGCTGATCATTGGCTGCACCTCTGAAACTGTCAGTCAAAATAAACCTTTCCTCCTCTAAGTTGTTTTGTCAGATATTTTCATCACAGCAATGAAAACTTGACTAAATTTAGGACCTCTTTATATACTTTGTTTTAGCAAATATCTGACTTGGACAGAAAACCAGATAGAATCAGTTTCTCTCTTTTTTTTCTATGTCTTTTCCCCTCCCCCTTCCTTTCCTCGTCCCTCCCCTCCCTGTTTCTCACATATTTTCTCTTCATCACACTTTCTCTGTTAATGAATTCCACAAATTTTGAGATCAGGCATATAAAAGCTACTCTTGTGATTTCAGACTATTTACTAACTAGTTAATTAAGCCCTATAATCCTCATCTTCCTTTTATAGTTACAGGAATAGAACTTAGCTCATGATTTATGTAAGGCAAAAATAATGTAATATATGTGAAACCATTAGTACTATTCCTGGTATAGAGTTAGTATTTAATAGTGTTTTTTCCAATTAAGGAGAGAGAATCAGTCTAATGATTATGAGAACAAATCTGGAGAAACTTTCAAACCTGTATTCAAATTCTATAATTTTTTAATTTGCTAGAGTCTCAATTTCTCTGTTCCTTATTTTTTCTCATTTCCATAATTCTTAATTTTTATTTTGTTTAAGACATTGGGCAGATTGAATAATAAGGATGTGATCAATATGTCAATAAGCATGAAGCGCATGCACTGTGATCACGGAATAAAGTGTGATGGGATATTGAAACAGATATAACCTGCTGTCCCTGGAGGGGACCCTCAGGCAGCTTCCCTTACTTTTCTTTTCATTAGCAGGTAAAAAGAGATCCAGGTATTACTTTAAATTGAAAAAACGTGCTCAACCCAGTCTACAGACTGTTTAGTTTTATATAAAACTGGAAACTCCAAAGCTGATTGAACATGTAACTCAACCCCTCAAGCAGCTGGCACCTCTTTCAGACTGGAATTTACAATAGTGTAACAGCTACCCTCTGTCCCCATAGCAGCTCCCCATTTCACCCATTCCTCAGTCGCAATTCAGGATCAAAGTTGGACAGAGTGAGGAGAGGGAATTCCTAGGTGGCTTCATGTTTTCTGGTTCTCTAAGAATGTTGAAGGTTTGGGAAGAGCCATACAGACAATAATGATGACATCATGGTTTCTGCTGTACACTAAATATTAATACAAATTCCACATTATGTTTTAAAGCTTAATTCCACATTTGATGATATTTGGAGGTGGAGACTTTAGGATGTTTTTAGGTTCAGATGACATTACAAGGGTATAGCTTTCATAGCCAGATTAGGGCCCACATAAAGAAATAAGAAGCCCATAGCTCTCTCTCCACCATATAAGGAGTAAGTGTGAGGATGGCCATCTGCAAATTGGAAAGCAGAGAATCTGACCTTACTGGAACCCAGGTCTTAGATCAGGACTTGAGAAGCTTCCAGAACTATGTGAAATAAATGTTTGTTGTTGAAGCCATCCTGTCTATAGTTATTTGTGATGGTTGCCCAAATTGACTAAGATGACCGCTTGAGGGGGTCCCTTGAATATTCTCTTTAGCTATTAACTCATGATTCTCTTGTTCCTAGATAATTCATCTCTGTTCCAGGGTCTTAAGAGTCTGGCCTCAGCTCTCATTTACAAGATGAATATCCTTCCTCTGGAGTCTCTTCATGTCCCCAGATTCTATCTTCCGTATCCCAAAGGTAGTTCCATACCAAGGCTGTCTTCCTGATGGTCCATAGCCAATTCTAATCCATTATCATTAGATCATTTCCCTTTGATTCCCCCATTCTATCCCCAGTCTTCCCTTCAACATTTTCCAAGTATAAGATGGATCTACGTCACAGTCCATTGTTGCTTTCTCAGCTATAAATCAAGTATAAATCATTTGTGTCCTTATCTTCCATTAAAAAAAAAGGACAGTCTGTAAGGCATCTTCATAAATCTTTTCTAATTCTTTTTTTCTTTTTTTATTTCTCAAGGTGGCTGAGAGATCCAGGACATTGAACAATTTCTCACATCCACTTCCAGTAGAGCCCTTCATGTGGGATGGGTAGGCTGCTTCATGCTCACTTTGACATCCTGACATCTGCCTTGATTGTACCTACATCAAAACTGGGGAGAAAGGTCCCATTCTCAAATCCAGTTATTATTTACAAAGGATTACAGCAAGTCTTGGCAAGAGGACTATCTACAAAATTTGCTGAGCCAAGTACAAAGTGAATATTTGGATCCTCTGGTCACAGATTATTAAAAACTTACAGATGATGATTAGAGTACTAAACTGCACCATCTCAGTGCAAGGTCCTCTGAAATGGCACAGGTTAGATGACCTTAGACGCAGCCCTAGGAAACAGTCATTTTGCCAGTTCTTTGGTTTCAGATATACCTGCATGATCTTTGGAATATTGAGATGCTTTCTAATAAGCCATTACCAAAACCCCCACATGGCACATTTGAGTATGATTTAGAACTGATTTCATGCTGAAACAAAAACCAGTCAGTTTAGATCAGAGCAGACATTCTCAAAATTCACAGGCTGCTGCCCTGATAAAGGAACAAATTTTCATTAATGTCTTAATTTATTTTTCTCAATTCCAATTGAGGATATCTTGATTCTCAAGCAGAAATGTATTTCTTAAAGCATATAAAACACTACAAGCCACACCACTGGCCTCTTTGTTTTAGCTTTGAAAAAATAACAACAGAACAATGAGACCAAAAAAAAAAAAAAACATAAAGTTCTATAGTGGGGAATAGGGAGGATGAAAGTACAATGTGCTATCCATCAAATATCTAACGTGTGTCATTATTTCCATTAAGGTATTTTGTATTGAGAGCGAATAAGACATTTCTTAGGAGGGGGAGGGGGCCTTTCTAATTCAATGGCATAGAAGCCAACATCCCCGAGGTAAGTTCAGCGGGAGCTCAGAGAGTCGGTGCTGAGCAGCAGACACTGCAGATACCATCCATCTCTCTGACACACGCAGGGCCTCATTGTGCGGCTGCCAGACGCAGTCGGCTGAGATGAGAATGTCACAGAATACAGAAAAGGAAGCAATGCTGCTGGGCTCATTATTGCTCTTATCTATGAATAGCCCCCATATAGCAGCTCGGGGGAACATTATTCTGAGATGAAGAGATGGCGATTCTGTCCGTAGCCATCACAATCAACGCAGGCAGTCAAGGAGTTAAGTGAAGGAAGTACAAGGGAACACAGAAATTCTACTTGTTAGTCAGGGAACAAGAGGACCATATCTCTTTCAGAGCAATACTCTTGGTACAGATGCTGAGTCATCATTTCAGCCTCTCTCAATACTGATGATATTCCACCTTCTCCCATTCCTCAAATTCTCAACCAAGATGACAAAGAGTGCCCGATAGAGACGGCATCATTGGGAAAGACCATCAAAATGGTGTGTGTGTGTGTGTGTGTGTGTGTGTGTGTGTGTGTGTGTGTGTAAAGGTGGACCGAGTGCTGGATGAGAAACACCCGGTCAGTTTCATGCCTGAGGCTTCCTTACTGAAAAAGAAAACAACAAAGAACAAAATATCCAAGTAATCTGGAACAGGCAGAACCAACAAGAACAAATGGTTTTGTGTAGCTATAAACATAGCAAAACAGAATATTATATGGTCATTTAAGGCTCTATGATGAGGAGAAGGTTTAGGCCAGTCTCAAATGAGAAGCATTTGTGCCTGGGCAAAACTATACTGTACCACACTTCACTGCCACATAGGAAAGTTGTATGATTTACTGTTGTGCTTTGGATGTGTGACTTGACCTGCGCCCTCAACAGCTGTATAATAATGATCCTTCTTAAAAGGATATCATACTCTACAAGGATTCACATCTTCCCTACCTATTCCCTGCCTGTTACTTTAAACAGACTTCTTGAAGGGAAGAAGACAATTAGTGCAAAATCTATCAGAAGGCGTCTCAACCTGTCCTCCAGTCTCCAGCTAGCAACTCTCTGGAAGGAGGCCATGTAACTCTCATTATTTGTTAGGCCATGGCCTATTTTTCCAGGCTGTTGTATAAGGCAAATCCATTGCCTCATTTCTCATAGCCTCTCTACAAAAGAAAAAAGCAGACGGATCTTCCCAAACTCAGACAGAATACTGTGCACAGCCAAGTGGGCTGAAAAAGCATGCTGCCAAATTGGCCAGCACTGCTCCATGTATCGCTCTCTTCCCAGAGTCTCAGCAACAACAACAAAGAGGCTGACCCTCAATAAATTCAAGAAAGGGCTCATCTGCTTCCACTTAGGTAGAATAATGACTTTAAACAGCAAGCAAGAGATGTTTCCATCAAGCCTGTCCTCCTCAGAAATATCACAGGGACATTTGGTGACCAACTTAAAAAAAAATAAAAATAAATCAGAGCCAGAAAAACTTCATGTCAGATAAATACTGATATGACCCAAATCAGCACCCTGTTCAGGACAAGTCAGTTACACACACAGAAGGATCCTAGGTCATGTTCTGCCGCTACAGAAAAATTCCTCAGGAGCACAGTATGCTTATTTTCCTAATAAATAATTAATAATAGCTCTCTTTATGGAGTGTTCACAGGTTTCTGGAACTGGGATAAGTCTTTTATGCGGCTTCTCTAATTCTCTCTACAACCCTGAAATTATTCTCACTTTACAGATGAGAATACTGAAGTTCGGAGAAGTTCAGACAGTTGCTCCAGCTCACAGGGGTAGATGATAGAGTCTGAACTACATCTCAGAGATGCTGATTCAAATGTCTCCTATGGTAACCTTACTTTTGACATGAACAATTACAGGTTTTTACATCCTCATTGTTTTTATCAGTACTGGTGATGTGTGAACTTTCATGATATGATACTGATATAACTTTTACCCTCAGAAAATTAAAAAAAATATTTTGAGATTATCAATATTAAGGGACAAAATGGAATAGGATGACCCTTCTTCTGTCATTTCTCCTGTCCTAATGGTACTTGTCTTTTCTAGTATTGATACCCTGCACGTTTGTGGGATCACCCCACTCGTTGTGCCCATGCAACACAATGTAATGGCTGACTCCCATCTGCTCTCTTTTCTCATAGACCTATTGGAACAAGCCATTCAGACTGTAGGGACCATGTTCCCAGTGGCTGCAAGGCTTCTGGTGGTGGTCAGGAGACTGGAAACTGTACAGCCTCAAAACACTCCATCAAGCCATTCAGCCAGTGGCATTTCACATAATGCTACATGATTAAAGACCATGAAGGTTAAACATTTAACCAGACACATATGTCTAGCAATGGTCTTTTGAAAACCTCCATTCTGAGGAACCATCTGGACATTCCAGGTGATCTCCATGCCTACTGATGGGAGTTTACTCCATCATACATAATAGTTTGGGCAATCCAGCAGAGAGTGTATTTGATGGCCCCTTTGTTTTAGATTCTTTAAGAAGAGAGCCAAAGATTGACTTCACTTTCATCAAAAGAATATCAAGTTACACATAAATAAGAATGACCTTGCTCATAAAGAGTGTTAGGATTTAGAACGTGTTCCTGAGCAGTGTGAGGATTCAGATTCCAATTGAGACTCTGAAGACTAAAACAGAGGACCAAACGGGGATGCTGAAATTATAGACAAGATAAATTCCAGCTGGACTACAGAAAGAACTTTCTAGTGGAAAGGTTAATAGAAGATCTGAATGGATTCTCTGAATTTCAGAAACTGAGATATTCATGAAATCAGAGTCATATAAGATAAAATTATCTAAAGTAAATGGAAACATCTTCAGGACATTTAATAAAAATCACTTCAGTAGAACATACAGAACACCACAAATACGCATATGTATGTATGTGCGTGTGTATTAACTACACAAAGTTGTGAATGTAGAAGTAAAATACACTACTATAAAGATGATCTTATTACATTATCTCAATAAACATTGCACTAATATCAGCGCTTTCTCAGCCTCCCTTCTAGGAAGTAATTTTTCAACAATTAATGTTTTGCTCTGTAGCATAAGATCTTCCGAAGAATGTTTAATTTGATTGGAAACTATTTAAGATACAAAATGGATACTTATAAAAATGACCCTGCAATCTAAAACTTTACAGTGAACTACAACATTCTGTGACTTAATACCTGAAATCTGAATACTTCAAGTTAAACTCTGGAGACCCAGTGTCATTTTGTGATGTACGGTTTTGCAGAGTTGAATATAAAGGTTTGTATGGAGAAAGGAGTCACTTAAGTGTTTGCTCAATAAACATATCAGCATGTTTCAATTGAATTCAGCCAAGAGTTTTCATTCTTTCATATTTTGACATTATCATTTAAGCAGTGTTTCTCATGAAGCCTCTGAAGGATTCTTTACATAATTTGGTAATGTTGTACTCCATATTAGGAGTCATGAATTTGAGGTTTCTTGAACCAACACAAATTTAGCCTTTGTGAAAGTGTAGGGCCTGATATTAATTTTGTAATAAAAGAAGAAAAATTTAGGATTGAAGAGTGTAATCTTGTCAGAAATTTTGATATTCTATTAAAAATATATATCACAGTCAGTCACAGTGGCATATGCCTATAATCCAGTGGCTTGAGAGGCTGATACAGGAGGATTGCAAATTCAAGGCCAGACTGAGCAAATTAGTGAAATTCAAAGCAACTAAGTGAGATCCTGTCTCAAAATAAAAAATAAAAAGGGCTGGGGATGTAACTTTGTGCCAAATTGCCCCTGGGTTCAATCTCCCATACCAAAAAAAAAAAAAAATTCATATCTTTACTATCTGCTAGCAATTACTAGAATCTAACTCCTCCTGATTCTAGAACAATAACTAAACAACATGCTACCCTGTCAATTTCTGGTAAAATTTGCTTTTCTTCATATGGTCCTCTGCTTGAATTGCTTAGGTTTTTTTTTTTTTTTTAATTGAGAACAAAAGTCTTCTCTAGTTTAAGTTGTCTTTGAATATTACATTCTACATATTTAAAATTTTTTGGTTTTCCAAGCTATGGTTTTATTTACTTGTAAAAGGAGTTAACCTAATCCTGATAAGACACACAGATTCACACACACACACACACACACACACACACACACGAAGAGAGGAGAGAGAGAGAGAGAGAGAGAGAGAGAGAGAGAGAGAGAGAGAGAGAGAGAGAGAGAGAGAGAGAGAGAGAGAGAGAGAGAGAGAGAAGCTCACATTCACATTCATAGATCAGGATCCTGAAATGACCGATCTCAACTGCTTTGTGCCCACTCTTGGTCATTTTTCTAAGTGCTGTTGGCTATTGGTTTCACCAACATCTCCACATAGTCTTATTCTGCTGGTTTGGCCAAGAAGCCTCTGCTCTTCATCTTGATTCCCTCTGCTTCCATTTCATTATACAATGTTCAGAGAAAGCGTGGGCTACGTTAAGTTAAAAAAAGATAAAAGCCAGATCAAAACCCTCTCAGTGTTGCCCCTGCTGAGAAGTAGGACCCAGACCCAGGGGTATTTGATATGCCAGAACCTGTTCCAAGGATAGTTTCAAGCTTTTGGGTTTCTGAAGTTATTGAAAAAGTTTACTCAAAAGTGACAAAATATAAAAGCAATGTTAGTGCACTTTATGGATTTTTTATTTTAAGAAGAAAATAGTCATCAATATTTACTTTTTGTGTGATTTTTTTAATCTTTATTTATTTTTATGTGGTGCTGAGGATCGAACCCAGCATCTCACTCATATGAGGCAAGTGCTCTATCAATGAGCTACAGCCCCAGCCCTGGTTTTCTTTATACAAGGTAGCAACATGGTTTAATGCATTTCATTTTGCTTGTTTCTTCTATTATTATTTTCTTTCTTTCATTATATATTAGAGAAATAGGATCAAATTATTTGGAGAATTTTTTTCCCCTATGTTTAATATCAGATAACATTGAAGATATGCCCTGGTCATTATTTAGTGACCCAAAGGATGTTGCCAACATAGTCATTTTCCCAATTCATTTCTTTGTTTTTAAAGTAAAAGGGCACTATATTTTGGTATTTCAAAAAATGACATGGAGTAGGACTCAAAATGGTTAATTTCATTGAAATATCTAAGCCCAATGCTAGTAGATCTTACAAAAAAATGGGTGGCTTATACAGATACACAGATAATGGTTTAGTAATGCGTGTTATCTACTTCAAAGTTGGTACACTTGCATAGGCAATGGCTCAAAGCTATCAGCCAAACTGAAAGTGTAGTGGTGTAAAAAGTGCTGAATGCTTCCATTATGCATTATTTTAGCCAGGGTAATGAATATTGTATGATCCCTTAATGTCGAGGTGGTTTTGTCCTATTTTGGTGCCTATTATTCTTAAAGGAACCTTAAGTAATGTAATGGAGCTAAGCTTAAATGCCATTTTGCTGTTAGGTCATTATTTTTCCTTTTTTGCCTGCACTTCAGATTATATAAAATCCTACAGAGGCAAGAAGACACTTTAAAGACACAATGCAAGCAATGTTAATTTTAAAGTGAATCCCTGAATCCTTCCTGGGAGAATCACTAAGCATTTTCACTCACGATTTCTAATTATATTTTTGAGGTGCCTCAAAAATTGCCACATACTTGATTTCTGGAAAAGGCACCATGAATAAGCTGTTGTCATGATTTTTTATGAGGAAATTATGGATCATAAAATCAGGTGACTTGCTTGGAAATATATATATGTATATATATATATATATGTGTGTGTGTGTATATATACATTGTACCATTTATTTGAAGGAATTGAACATTTTGTTATCTATAGAGGATTCCTATAACCTATTGCCTGGGGATATCAAGGAATGACTGTATATAAAGAAGAGAAAGGAATTAAACACTGGGTACCTATTATGTGGCAGGACTTGATGAAAATGTTTTATAAATGACATATCATACTGATTGGCCATGTGATCCTTTCCAAGTAGTGTACTCCAAGAAACTGCAAACTGAATATGAAGAAACCTATATCCATTATTGGCCATGTGATCCTTTCCAAGTAGTGTACTCCAAGAAAATTCAAAGCTGCTGCTACCATAAAAACTGCTTCCCAGAATACCTCATATACTCAGCTACCTTCCCTACTAATCAGACCAAAGCATTAAAGTGACAACTGCTTTTACTTGTTTCTGTGACAGGCCAGAGCACTGCCACAGCTTTCAGCGGCTGCTCAAATGATGTTCATATTAGTCTATTATTTTTTTAAAATACTTACTTTTTAGTTGTAGTTGGACACAATACCTTTATTTTATTTATTTATTTTTATGTGGTGCCGAGGATCGAACCCAGGGCCTCGCTCATGGGAGGCGAGCTCTCTGTCGCTGAGCCACAACCCCAGCCCTAGTCTATTATTGCCTTCACCAATTTTTATTAACATTTTGCAATAATGGTGATATTTATTCAGGAGTTTCAATTGTAAGAATCGTGATTTTGTTAGAGTCTGTATAGTCCTTCTTGCTAAGAGTTGAAACCTTTCCTCACCTGGTGGTATGAATGATCACCTGTGCTGACCACCTGACTTGTTACACTCTCTGGTCTACTTATTCACTGTCTCCAGGACCAATCCTTATTTGTCCAGATGCAGATAAGTGGCTACCTATATTTTATAGACAAAAATTAATGTAATTTTTAAAAATAGTACCATTATGTATAATTTTAAAATTCTCACTGATTTTGAAATTAAGGAAATAGGTAAACATCTCATTATAGTAATTTTTTCTTTTTATACTGTTTTATATGCTTTATGTAAACCCTATCATTCATTATTTGACTATTGAATCAATACTTTTATTTATTTATTTATTTACTTTCAAATAAAATTTGATACTCAATTTATCAACTTTAAATTTCTAATTTATTTTAGGCTGGTTTCTTTTCTAATCCTAATTTTTTTTTTAAATCCTTCTCTTTCAGGGGAATGTTGTACAATGGACCCATGTGTTGGTATTAAACAGATAGGTGGATAATTCTACAAGCAGGATAGTTTATTTTAAGGTGACTTTTTTTTAAAGTCATGAACTTCTCTTTCTCTAATCATTTTTTTCTAAAGATATTTTAAAATATTTCATTCCCGTTATTTTTTAATCTCAATGATGCTCTATCTCTCATGCTATATAATGTCACTCTAAGTCTTATGTTTCAATTACAGTGATCCCCAAAGATCTAGAAACCTTAAATTTTTGTTATAAGATTAGATTTTATTTGACTAAACCATAAAGGCACCTTTATAGTTCATTAGTCACCCTCCTCCCTTTTTCCTACTTCTTATTCCACTTTAACTTTGGGGAAAAATAAAATGCTAATAAGAATTCTAATTAGATAAGGAAACGTGGATAGAGTCTGCTGATACTGAGTAATGCTCACGTATTATCTCTTTTTGGCTGGTGGCTTATGTAGCAGAGAGCAATTCCTAGTTTTAAAAGTCTGGATCAATCTGCTAGGTATCATTATATAATGTTAGTAAGGACCAGCTCCCTGAAGAAACATACCCAGCCACTGCTCACTGCAAAGTAGCAAACTGAATATGAAGAAACCTATATCCATAAATTATTTCTCCTATCTCTTTCAACATTTTCCTGTAATCATTATTATAAAAAATGTTTTTAATAATAATAATAGTTATTTTTATTATTTAGTTCTAATAATTAGTTTTAACTCTTTAGAGGAGCTTTGATATATGCACAGATATTCAAGACCTCTCTTTTGAATAACCTTATAAAGTACATCAAATTGAGTACTAAGCATAAACAGGAGGCAGCACATCGGACAATTGAAAATCACTCATCCCGAAGATGGTATGGACAATGTTTTACACTTTCTATAAAAAGTTTACAATATTGCTTGCCATTTGAAGTACCACAATACAAAAGTCCCAGATTTCCAGATGTTTCTTAGAAGGCACACAGGGATATACAATTATGAAGTGCCCTATATTTGTCTTTTATGAGGAACATTTGGAGAGAAAACCTGTTAGCACTTGCTGTTGGCTGGGAATAGCCACAGAGCTTTCGGTTGTGGTTTCTAACTGTGGATACCTCAGTGAAACACCAGCCATTTGGTTTCTGGAAAATTCCCTATATGTTTTAATGTTTTCATTCTGCATTGACATGTAGATTTGAAATTTATTGTTTGTCAACCACAAGAAAGAATCTCATTCTATTACTGTCCCGATAAATAAAATTAAAACACAAACCTATCCAAGAAAAGTAACCAAGACTTTCTTAGCCAATGAATTCTTTTAGCAGTTGGCCTCAGAAGGAAAAGGAAAAAATGTTTAACCCAT